CTTGGCGGCGTTGGAAATATAATTCAAAGATCTTTCCTACGGTATCTTGTAGCATACCTAACTCATCCTGTTCTAGGAGTTATGGTCGTTTGAAGTTGACCAAAAACCCATACTTAACATAACTTAACCAATTTTCGAGATTTTTCATTCTTTCCGAAAAATGACTCTTTCTAATTCTATCTCTTTCACTTAGCGAGATGTTACATGTTGTATCATCACGAAGCTCATACTGATGGTTTTCTGTCAGAGAATCTCCCATATATATTTACAGTTCATCGAGTTAGAATATTTATTCATAAACATTTTAAATGATTTTTATCTCTACTTATGCTTTACATTCAACTGAGTACCTTACTTCAGCTTCTTCAGTTCAGTTATTTATTTTCCTCAGCTATATTACATACTCGTATATTCGTTGTATTGATGTCATTCGATCTACATCTTTCTATGATGCATACATGTGTTCAAGATCATCAACAGGTGCTCCGTTGGTATCACTTTGCACTTCTTGCTAGTTTTGGTGAGCCTTTCTTGAATTCCGAAGGACTCCACTTTTATTTTCAGTTTAATAGTTTGAGGTGTCGTGGGTCTTGTCCCGACATCCATGTTGAACTATAGAGGTTACATAAATAGTTAGTGTTGAGTTTCTTTCAGTATTTCTTTTGAATTGTTTTACAAACTATTATCGCTTTTAGAGTATCTTCAAACAATTTTGATTAAAGTATTTTGAGACAAATGATTTAATTCTTTTTTTAAAACTGATATCTACTTGAGTTAGTCTTCCCTAAGTAGTCAACTAGGTCAAGAGTTCACTTGGAGATCAGAAATGGTTCTCAAGTGTCGGACACTTCAAGATATAGGCTTGAGGCGTAACATGAAAAAGATAAAAAAAAAAATCAAATTGAAATAAAAAAGAAGTATGAATGAAATGTGAAAGAATGTTGAATGAAACAAACTAATTCTTGAAAGTCTTTCAAACAAATCTAAGGAGAGAGTGTTGTGTGTGTTTTTTATTTAGAGAAGACTTTGAAATAATGATGTGGAAAGAGGTTGACTGATTCTTACCTTTTTGAGAGATATGTGTAATTAATTAAATTTCTAAACTGTAGTAAAAATTTACTCGATATCTCCAACATCCGGCTCCTCTCCATTATCCCTTCCCTCCATTTCGTCAAGTGCATCTGTGCATGTCTAGATGAGAGACGTGTTATATTTAAAGTTTAAAGGTTAAGATTATATTTTATTAACTAATATCATAACCATAATTAAGTCAACTAATTTTAGAAAATTACTCTCCAAATTTGGTAAGAACTAAACTATATTCCATACAAAATTTGATAAGTATTAATATCATTAATTTCATCTTATATCATTAAAAACAATGTTTTCTTTTATTTCAAAAAATAAAAAAAAAAGATAAAAGAATATTTTTTAAAAACATATGTTTTTCCCCTTCAAACACAGTATAGCCACTTTTTCTCCTTAGAATAATTTTGGTATTTCACGTTTATTTCTAAAAATCTTTCGTCTTTTTATTTTTTCTTTTTATTTCATGTTCTTTTATTTTATGATTTTTTTCAATATTGATAATTCTTCACCTTTATTTTGTTTCTGAACATAGTATAATATTCAAGAACAAAGTTTACTAGTGCAGAAAATTGTTTAGTTGATTCTCACCTTAAATATCATACAGTTTAAATGTAAAATATAAGACAAAATTAATGATATTAATAAATATCAAATTTTGAATGGAATATATAGTAATTCTTACCAAATTTGAGAGTAGTTTTCTAAAATTAGTTGATTTAACTATGATTATGATATTTGTTAATATAATCTTGATTTTTAAACTTTAAATAAGACACATGTCTCTCATCTAGATATGCGCTTGACGAAATGGAGGGAAGGGGTAATTGAGGAGAGCCGGATCCCTCAAACTGCACAAAAAAACGCACACCTCCTATTTTTTTCTCTTACATAATTGATTACAAAAATAATAATAGAATTTAATCCTAATATGTTAAAACTTGTAATTAAACATTTATAATTAGTAATTATTAAATAGTAAATGTAACACCTCAGATTAAAAAGATGAAAATTTCAGGTTTTTAGGAAGTCTGGTGCCATCAATGACGACACCACCCATGGGTTGTAGGTTCGACGATGATCCGTAGGTGGGCGTCGTGGTTGGTGAGTTAAGTTTTCAAACAATGTAAAGTCTCAGTAGCGTATGACGGTCCGTCGATGGACCCACAGACCATAAGTGGGCTCCCGTCGTTGCCATTGGGGTCCAAACTTAGGGGTCTCTATCCCACCCACGGCCGACCAGTATGGTCCGTGGTTGGACCGTAAGTCCGGCCGTAGGTGAGGGTCAGCAACTATTTAGAGGAAAAGGGCTTTTAGGTCAACTTCAAACGGTCATATCTTTTAGCAAAAATGAATTAGGTGGCCCATGACCTATCAAATTAAAGATAATTAAATCTTCTTTCCCTTCTTTCCAATGCCACCGAGTTTTCTAAAATCCAAGTTGTGAGTAAAAATTTATGCTCGTTTTAGTGAAACCTTGTCGGGCAGAGCATGAACCACGATCCAGTCGACAGGCGATATCAAACGACGGTCCGTCAGTCCAGTAGTAGATGGCACTTTGTTAGCTTTAAGTCAGGGTCTTTTTGTCCTTTCCCCTATGTGTTGGGCATTTAAACTACATCATTTGATGCCTAAACTACATCGTTTTACTCAATTTAAGCCAAATAACTTAGTCAAAATCTACCCAAAGCCCTCATTCTCCTAAAAGCACCCAAATTAGAGCAAAAAAAAGAGGCATCACAAATCCGCTGATGTTGCAGCCGCAGCAACAACAAACTCTTTTTCTTGTGTTGTTGAAGCATGTCTTGCATAAAAGGGCGAACCAGAAGAGGTTTTGAAGGAAAGAATAAAAAAGAGGTATCACAAGGAAAAAATGTTGCTCAACAAAAAGAAGCATAAGTAGAAGAGAACATCCACGTCATGGCTAAGAGGTTGTGTTATGTGTGTGAATAATCCATTACTAACCACATAACGCAACTGCTTAGCCATGACCCGACGTTATCTTCTACTTGTTCTTTCTTTTGATGTTTCGCAACAGCCTTTTTTCCTTTTTTTTTCCCTCCAAACCTCTCTGACTCGCCTTTCTGTACTTGATCATCGGTAAATTGATCCTTATGAGAAGGATGTAATTGAAATTCATGTAAAAGAAGATCAAAAACCAAGCATATTGAGTCAGTCGCTTGTATTGAGTCAAATCTTGTATTTATATGTTAAAGACCCTGTTATAAATAACAATTTTAGGCCTGATAAATAAAAAGAGTTATGATTTCAAATTTAGCAGCATGAAAATGATATATCAGAGTCAATGGAATCATCAAAATATTCAAACAAGGTCACCTTGACCCGATGTTGACCAAAGTCAATTTTAACTTAAGAACCTCCAAATTTTCAAATAAGGACATGAAACTCATCCAAAAGCTTCGAGAACTAAATCAAACCTTCATCTAGACCAAATGTCCCTATTTGGACCTAGTGGAATCATCAAAACTCGAAAATGACCTTTCTAACCTCAAGTGTTGGCTAAAGTCAAAATTTAGTCTAAACTTTCTCTGCATCTCGTCTAATGACTCAAAATCAAATCAAATGCCTTTGGACCCAAGCCAATAGTCCTACTAACCCAATAGTCACGTTTTAGAGCTAATGGAACTGACGAAATTCCATTCCGAGACTCGTAGCTCCGATTGTTACCAAAAACTACTTTTAATAACTTTAACTCTCCAAGACTTTAAACATTCCAAAATCACATTTTACAATCAAATTTCAAAACCAACTTTGTAAACTAATCAAACAAGACTCAGGACAACACGTCATTAATCATGTTAATGCATGCATTAAAACCTTTTACATTATCCAATATCATGAATTTTCTTGTATTAGTTATATATACCTTTAATATCAAATAGAATGTATAACTATGCATAAGTTTAAAAAAATATACCAAACAAAATAGTAGCAATACACAAAGCTAATGCATACATTATTTTTTTTCATTTACTCTATACATTACATTGGGAGAAATGATAATCACAATACAATACTAATGGTAAAAATGCTAAATAATGAAAGATGTCAAATACAAATAAGGTATAAATACATAAATGTGTCATTTGACTCAGCTTCAACTTGCATTTATGTCCTCCAACTTTAGAGGTGCATAAACAAACGCTTAAGCTGGAAGAAAATTGAACAAATGGACATGCTTTTTGTGGCACCCTACATGGCCAATTTGCATCCTCCATGGCGTCCTATGTGTGTTATTCTCATCGAATGTGTATCTAGTCATTCAATTTCATACAAGTTGAATATCCATATTCTCATCAAATGTGTATCTAGTCATTCAATTTCATACAAGTTGAAATATCCATTTGCACACGTCCAAAATTCAAGATTATAAATGTCAATTTAAACCAAGTTAAAGAGCATGTTTATGTATCATAATACATGCCACATGTCCTCTTTTTTCAATATATTTCCATCACTTAATCATATCAGATGTTAAGTCCTTTGAAAGGCGAATAAGAGGCCTCTTTTTCATTGGTATAACCGCAAACAGAAGACCTTAAATAATAAAACCAGCAACAATTGACATGTATGAAGCTAATCCACTTTGGTATGGGATGGGATCAATTCAATGGTAAAGATTAAAGGTGCTCGATAGAGAGAGAAAACGGTTTAGGAAGAATACTGTAGTTTTTGGTATACAAATAAAAAAATTATGCTAAAAACATTTGAATATATCTAAAACAAAACTATAAGATGGGGGATGGGGTGGGGTTGGGGTAGGATCGAGACAATAATGTAACTTGTATACCCTACTTTCATTTAGAAAAGTCATTTTACTTTTTTTTAAAGAGCGTCTTCCTAAAGAAAATATTGTTCATAAGTTTTGACAAATCGAACACGAGAAGAGGATCGATCTGTACCCAACACACCCTAAAGAAAAATATATGTTCCCCTTCTATCTTCCTTTCTCCAATACAGGGTAAAAATAAACGGCTCTTAAAAGGATTTTACATCCAAAACTGATATGCAAAGAGTAGTATTCCTGGAGTTGCGAGCACCCTGCATCAAAGGAAAACTATAGCACTAGATGTTGCTAATGTCTAGAAAGCCATACTCCCAGCAAGCCTGCTTTCTGAGATTCTTCTGTCTATTGCTGCATCTATTGAGGTCATCTGAAAGAAGAAACCACAAACAGTCCTTAAGACCGAAATACCGATAGTACTCAGAATTACGAACAAGTGGAAAATCATAGGATGCTTCTGATACAATGAGATTCCTAACCCGGCAAAAGAATCTGACCTGAGCCAACATTGAACCTCTGTTTGACCATATATCAATAGTATAATCAATATAATTTACAAGGCATCTGGTAGGTGTACGCTTGCTCACCCAAACCCAAATCTTTTCAAGGCAAAGCACAGGCGAAGATATAAACACAAAATGAAATTTCCAAGAACAAATACATACATTTGATTCATAATCCTGTTCCTCAGAGTAGATAGATGCTCACCTCCTTGACAGAAATATCATTACTTAATTACGAGCAAAAGATAATGAAAATACATACTTGAATCTTTCGATGACCACACTTATTGGGATTCCTTGCCAACCGGAGAGTGGCCAAAGATAAAACAGTCCATGAACTAATGGGGTCGAAACATAAAGTATGATTGTGGATTATCAGGTATTCTTCAAAGAGTTTATTAGATAGTTTCAGCAAGAGGAAGGAGAATGGGGACAACTTGCTTAACGACAAGGAAAGAATAGTAAAACAACTGAATCTGAGAAATGGAATGCAACACCTCTCGACAGGCGCACAACTCAAGTCCATATCCAGAAGAAAGAATACCAGTTCTAGGTAATGATAACTTACCTGGCTAGTCTCATCATGCACCTGGTACTTTGGCAAGGACATTCGTCTTTCCTCCTGTAAAATTGCAGACCACCATTCAGTATCACAGTTACCGAAAATAAATGAATTCCACGAGAAAAAGCAAAGAGTACAAACCATGGACATAGCGTCATCATCCCAAACCAAGTAGACCTCATTTGACGCTGGAGCTTTGTTTGTAATTACAGGAGGTGGTCCAATTGAGGGTCCACCAGTATTAGGGCCAGAGGCATAAGAATGTAAATTTACTAATGTTGGGGCTGCAAAGGAAAAATGAAATGTGAAAAAAAGAATTATCAACTTTTTTGAAAGTTTTGAGTGGGCAATGAAGTCATACAAAGAGTTACCCACATCGTCAACAGTTGGCATATAAAAAGCAAGACTCACATTCTCCCACATTAACTAATAAAGAAGATGCATAGAATGATAACACAGAATCAATCAAGAATTTCAAAACAGCTGAAGTGAATCGAGAGAAGAGAAAAGATGTGTCCTTTTTTCTTTTCCACAATGATTGACATCACAAGACACATCATATACTTTAACATCCATGTAAACTGCTCGTGAACAGATTGACTATCAAATCCCATCAACATACACGAGTAGCTATTACATCACTACTAAGGATTTTGTTTGGGAATAACTGAGAAATCTGTCATTTCTAACTTCGAAACTCATGATAGTGAGCCCGTGCATCTACCCTTCTCTACTTGAATACTAAGCTAAGATTTGAACTCGTGACTTACATATACTACACATTCCGCGGCATACTACCTTTGCCATTGAATAAAAGCTATGGAGGCTGCTAGTAGAGATCTTATAATGCCAAAGTCAACAAATAATCCATGAAACTAAAGATGCAGAAAAATTTAAAGTATATAGTTCTAGGATACATGTATGTGCAACCAAATAGAACATCACACTATCACCTCAACTATGACAATAACAAAGTTTATCTCTGCAAGATGCTGAAACCACTTTCCCATAATTAGATAGAGAAAGGGGGAGGGGGTTGTGGAAGAATCAAGTATAACCAATAGAATTTGTATTGCAATTGGAAAAAGAAACGAACTCTTTGAATAATGATTGAAACAAAGGTATCCTATTTGTTTCAATCCTATCTCTGGCCACAGAACGATGTGGCCTTAGTTCCACCAAAAGACAAGCATTACAAATTTAAAACAATACAGGTCAACGAGAGAATAAGCATTGGTTACCTGGAACCTGATAGCCAATGGTTGAAGGAGAACAGTTTCCTATTTTAGGGGCAATTGAGTTGTTCACTTCAGCAGGTGAGCTTAATGGCACATTTGCTGTCAGCATTGGCAAACTTTGAACAAAATTGTTGTTAGGAACCACAGGAAACAATGGTTGAGACACAGGAACAGGTGGGGTAGATACTGGCAGTCCTGGAGGAGCAACAGGTAGTGATGGTTGAAGTATAGGCGGTGCAGTTGCTTGCACTGGAGGCCTCACATTCTGCACAGGAAACAGTGGTTGTTGCGGCAAACCCATAGGTGCAGGAGGTGGAAACATGACAGCAGGATACTGTGGATACCAAGGATGGAGGCGAGGAGGAACTGGCCAACCGGCAGGACGCATTGGAACAGCAGGATTGTAGCTGCAATAAACAGAAAACATCCATGCAAGAATGATATACTTATCGACTTACTCGAGCAAGCAACTTTCTTATAAATAGCATTTAAAGCAAGCAGAAAAAGATATTAATAAAATTATAGAAGTGGCATGTTTTATAACCTATTCACCAGAAATCAAACTATTATTTTTTGAGAAAAAACTCGACCAACTTCAAAAATAAAAAGAGTGAAGTGGTGCAAACACCCCCAAACTTGGCATGCTTAAATACACCTCCAATCTACCAGATGGCATAGCAAGTGGGTCTCACACCCTTGAAGGAGTGTGACACTCTTAATAAAAATGGCACCTAAGCAGCAAACATTTGAAAAACGGTAGAAAACTCATTTTTACTTTTCCCATTAATTTTAGACGACCCTAATAACTATAATAACCCTTCTTCCTATTTAAGTTTCCTCCATTAAAACATACCTCAAACACACCTCAAATTTAAGTTTCCTTCATTAAAACATACCACAAACACACCTCAAATTACCCTTCGAGGTGGCACAGTGGTTTGGGCTTGGGACTTCTATGTTGGAGGTCTCAAGTTTGAAACCCCTTGCTAGCAAAAGCAAGGGATTTGCCTTCTGGGTCAAGCTTGGTGCGGGTTACCTCTCTTATGTGGTTTGCGAGATATTGCATGGAGCGAGGTTTTTACCATGTGCGCACCCAAAGGGAAGCGGCAACGGATTTCCCTTGTCATAAAAAAAAAAACACCTCAAATTTAAGTTTCCTCCATTAAAACATATCTCAAATTAGAACTCAAATTTAAGAGCCTATTTGGATTGGCTTTTCATTTTTGACTTATTTTTATCATTTTAGCTTAAAACCAAGTGCTTATAAGCCTTTTTTTAATTTACCCAAACACTACAAAAATGCTTGAAAGTTATTTAAGCTTAGAAGCACTTAAAATAAGCCAATCAAAATAGGCTCTAAGTTTCCTCCATCAACTCATGCTCTTCAAATGCTAACTCAATTTTCATACTCCCTAATTAAAAATAGAAATTGATTCTTTGAAGAAGCACTAACTTTTGAAGAAGATGACTAAAATACTTGACAAAAGGAGCAAAAGAACAATGGAGTAAAAGTGTCGGCGATCGAAACTAACAACCCAACAGAACCCTAACCAAAATCACGACCCCCAAACTATATAAATCACAAATCAGTATAATACATATGTTAGAACATGAATAGGAATAAAAATATTATATACGATCCTACTTAGAATAGGAATAGTATATAGAATCCTACTTGGAAAAGGATTATAAAGTAGTGTCTTAGTTGGAAAAGGAGTCTAATGTAGTGTCTATAAATAGGGTCTCAATGTGATAATGTAGAGACACAATTCAATAATATTTTTCTCCTATATTTCTCACATGAGCTAAAACCCTAGCCTAAATCTTCGAATCAAAGATTTCTAGGCTAAAACCCTTTGATTTTCATTGAAATCCAAGGGTTAGTTTGCAATTTTGAGAGAGATGGGTCCTTTTGAGAGAGAATTTGGATGGAGATAGATGAGTTCTTTTGAGAACATGATCGGGTGAGGTTATTTTAGTTGGGTAGGTAATAATAGAGTGAAGTGGTTTTACACTATCTACATGGAGGACACATCTACAATACATCAGCACAATACTCCAGCTGGACCGCAAGTGATTACACATTATTTTCTTGTGGCAGATCGAGGTGTATTTTTTTTTTTGATAAAAGTAACAGTTAGTCTATATTTATCCACAAGTATACTACCTCAAAAGTGTAGTTCCCCTCCAAAAGTGTTGTAGTTACATAGGCTCCTATACCTACCAAGTTACAGATCGAGCTGTATTTAAGTTCAGTTAGATAAGTGTAAGGGTTTTTTATTACTTGGCTAGTTCGGGGACTGGAGTAATCATTTGTGTCAAATTTGGAGGTATTTTCACCACTTCACTCAATAAAAAAAAAGCTCAATAAACCAAGGCCCTAGTACTTAAGGTATCAGAGAATCTTGAGTAGATATTGACAGTCGAGTAAAAAGTTAGAGCACTTTTGAAAAAAATGCCTCTTTTAGGTCTGACTTGGGAACTGTGTTATTACCCCTTTTTTCCCTACATTCTTGAGTGAGGCGTTCTTTGTTGAAAGTTTCTATAACACTATGGGTGGCAACCTAATCTTTGTTTCAGATGATAAATCATTTGAGTTAGCAAATATTAGTGATGATCGCATCAGTTGGTTCTCAACCATGGAATGAGGCAAACGCTTTACAGTATCAAGATAAACGAAAATAACCTCTGTTGGATGTGCACAATCCTTCGTATAGCATCTAAAGGGGCAGGAGATTTATACAGAAGATGGAGAAGGAAACAACAATCTAATCTATCCAGGGTCTATCAAGACTACAACATATATGGTCAGTTCTTGAGTGTGGAAGTGTGAGTAGGAGATCAGAAAAAGAACCAGAGAATGATTTATTGTTAGACAGAAATTGCAGTGAGAATCCTCCGTAATCTGAAGAATCAACGTTCATTTGCACCGTCGACGCCATTAACAAAATCCTTTTTTGCAGCTACAACTATTCTGAACTAGCCAGCAGAGGCAGCAACAACTCTGCTTGGTATGATAGCAATCATCCTTTTGCTAGGTGTCTAATTGGAAGATCCAGTGATCCTTTCAACCACATCCAAAAGGCAGAAATTATCCAAATATGGTTTGTCTCGAGATAAAAAATCACCACATACCAGAAAATTACTCCAATTGACCACAATCTTTTCCTTTTTGAATTCCCATTGAGATAGGAGGTAGTTAGAGCTTGCTTGAAACGGGAATGTTTGGAGTGGTCACCATATTCTGGCGGAAAGAAAGGGCAAGCACCTTCACAAAGTATCTCAATTAAAGCTTTTGGATCTCATTGAATGCTTGATCATTCGATACCTTCAAATTCATTGGAAAAAAATGGAGGGTTCATCAGAGTCGACGAGGACACAAAAGGTTCCATTTTATGTTGTCCATTTGTCCATCATAATGGAACATCCTAACTTCATCCATTGTACTTAATGTTCCTCAACAATCTTGTCTATCTTCTTCACCACATTTTTAAATGAGAAACTCTTAACTTTGTGATAGCTACGAGGCTTCATCCCTAGGCTATGTTGTCCTACGAACTCAATGAATTTATCAAAAGTTCAGTAATTGACACAATTAAAAGGGATCCCCTACGTCATAGAACGGTGATGCTAAAGCAGTTACAGCGCGCTCCCATAAGATCATCTTGGTTTCATCAAACTTTTGTTTTTCTAAGCTTCTCTTTTTTATTCTTTTTTTATGACTGTGGTGTGCGAGCCAGCTTTCGCCCATCTCCAATAATTCCACAGGAGACATGTCACTTCCCACCATCAGCAGGTGTCAGGTAACTTTGTCCATTTGATAGGACAGGTGGGAATAATCACCTAGTGTTTTTTGTCTCAACTGAGTTTTGAACCTGAGACCTCAGAGTTCACAACCACTTCCTAAGCCTCCCTTTTGCTATGATTTTTTTTAGAGAAGGGTAACCTTGTATTCACACCAAAAGATTCATCATCCAAAAAATGATGAATTGGAAACTTACATCCCACATAGGGTATTCTTTACAAGTTTACTATAAAATCAACTAATTCTATTATCTCCCCTATCAGATTTTGTTTACACCAATAAAACAAAAGGCTTATACAATTCATTCTAATTTTCTGTAAGTTAGTTTTGTGTCCATCAGAGCACCTTGAGTTCCTTTCTTTCCAAAGAGTCCACCATATGCATGCTGGGATAGTTCTCCACCAGAGTTCTTTTCTTAGTGTGTTGAGATTCCAATAACATGATTTCACTGTGAACACCCCCTTGTTGTGTAGTTTCCATCTAGGTTTGTCATGTCTCACAGATAGAGTTGGATGTGAGTTTAGAACTTCCAACAAATTGGCAACTTATCAAATTTCCCAGTCATTAAATGCTCTTATAAATAAGAGATCCCAACCCTGTTGGCTCCAAACTTGGTTTACCTTGGCATCCCTCTGAAGACTTAAGGTATATAGGTGTGGAAAAGAGTTTCTAAGACTATCTTCTCCAATCCACACCTCATTCCAAAAGTCAGTTTTTAAACCATTACCCACAGTGATTGAGATGTTATTGTTGAACTGGGGCCACAGTCTTCTTATGGTTTTCCAGACACTACACCCAATGGTGCCCACAACTTCCTTAGTGTTCATTGAGTAAGTAAACCATATTTCCCTACTATAAATCTTCTCCAAAACGCTCATGAAAGAAGAGAACAAGGAAAAGATGAAGAACTCTGTCAACTGAAAAGAGGAAGTTGGAAAAACCCTAAAATTACGTTTCAAGTTTTCAAGGCTGAGGTTTTTTCTTTTTTTGAAAAGGCGAACTCCTCACCTCGGCTCGTTGCCTTCTTATCCCCTTTTATTGTCACTGCTCTCCTTGCAGGACAGAGGCGAGGCGTCGCCCTCGCCTATCATAACACTAAGTCAACCACTACTTTTGCTTTTGTATCTTTGTTGCATCCTCTTGATGTCTTTCAATGATATCACTGTTACTTCATCAAAAGAAGGATATTGACATACTGTACTAATATTATAACATAGTACGAGGTAAGACATTGTAGCAAACATTGTACCAAACAGTGGCGGAGCCGGGATTTTTGAGGAGGGGGGTCAACATATAAAGAAGTAAGCCGAAAATGAAGCAAAACAGACCGGGGAAGAAAATAATTAACCTTAATCTGCTAAATTTAAACTTGCCTTGTCATGCCGCATTTAGTGTTTCTTCCTAATTTTACGCTGCTTCATTGAGTCTTCTTTAAAAAAAAAATTGTGATTTTTATCTTTTATTTTGTAGTGTTCTACTTTATTTTGAATTTTAAAAAAAAAAATAGTTTTCATTCAACCATATGTTACTTTGAAAATTATTTAATATTCTTTAAAAATGTGTGGGGATTGAGTTACAAATATTATAATGCATATTAAAAAGATAAACAAATGGCATAGCCGATTTTTAGTTCATGTATTCAATTTATAAGCTTTTCCATCCGTATAAAAAATGATAAATAAATCAAATAAATTTAGTTTAGAATAGAACTGGAAAAAATAAGAAAGAAATATCAAGGAATATTCATGCCTTCCAAATTTCTTCGTTTGATTAAATTTAATTTACCTTATCTTTAAAATATATTTTTTCTACCTCAATTTTAAGGTCAAGACAAATCGATATTTTTTTAATGATTTCCTTTGAATTAGTATATAAAAAGCAAGTTACGTAAAAATAAATAAATAATAGACATAAAAAGAATAAAATAAAAAAATGAAAATAACGCGCCTAATAAATTTGAACAAATGGAAATTGAGACGGTGAAATAGCATAAAAAAGGAAGAAAAATATATAAAACCCCAGCCCAAAAATAATAAAGCATTTTATTGGACTGAGGTTTTGAGCCTAAATGTTAGAGTCCATCTCGGCTTTACTATTTGATTTTCCAAAGGAAAAAAAATAGAGGAAAGTGTTGTCACACAGAATCGAACCCAAGATGTTGAGGCAATTTCCTAAACTCCCTTGACCACTGAGTTAGCCTCTTTACATGCGCTGAGGGGATTCATTTTAATATATAAACTCGTAAAAAATAAAATTTGACTTTATATATACAATGTAATTTTCCGACGAAGGGGGTTCGGGTGAACCCTCTGACCTCCATGTAGATCTACCTCTGGTACCATAAACCTTGATAACTGGCCTACAAGCTCTGTTTAAACAACATTCTTCTTTTTTCAACAATCATGGTGTCCGGGGCAGCTTACGCGCACCTTGACTTATTCCATGAGATACCTGCTACCTCCCACCAGCACAGGTACCAATTAACTTTGTCCACCAATTCTTGGTTGGGACATATTGGAAGAATCATCTGATGCTTTTACCTCTGTTGGGATTTGTACCTGATACATAATGGTTCATTACCCACTAGGTCACGCCCTTGGGTGCTTAACATTTTGCTTTTTAACTAAGCAAGCAAATCCCAACATAGAGATTCTTCATAAAGTAAACAATAAGAAAATCGTAGCATGGACATCAAAGACAAGTATAGAAAAGAGGAAGTACAGAACAAGTTTGGGTTCATTACAAATAGGGGTGTCAAAAATGAGCCCAATTATAGGTAACCCACCCAGAATTTTAAGGCTTGGGCTCAAGATAATTTGAATTGGGTTCAATCTCAACCCATTCAAAGCCTTAAACCCATTTTTTAAGAAAATTCTCAATTGAACCCAATTTGATCTCCAATTTCAACCCGCTTTAAGACTCTTGATTTGCATTGATGTAATGTATATTCCTATTTTGAAGGTATGAATTACTATCAATTTTACATCTTATAAGATTTATCTATCCATTTGTAACATCTTTTTTTAAAATTTTCTTGAGTTGAAATTCAAATTGTGATTATAAAACTTAAATAACAATATATTAAAATTATCGAGATTACGCGGGTCAAACTGGGCAGGTCAAGACCCAAACCGTTTTTAAGCTCATTTGAGACCAAAGTAAACTTGGGCGGGTCAGGACCCAACCCTATTTCTATTTCAACCCATTTTAATATCTCCAACTTCAACTCAACCCGCCCATTTGACACCCCTAATTACAAAGATCAGAAATCAACTTTCAAAAAAAAATCCAGCTCAAGGTGAATGTTTTCCATGGGTGCTCAACATTCTGCATTTAAACTAAATAAACAAATCTTACCAGAGAGATTCTTTAAAAAGAAAACAATAAGTCATCCTGGCATGGAGATTAAAGACAAGAAAAGAAATGAGAAGTACAAACAAGTTCAGTCCATTACAAAGACCAGAAATCAACTAAAAAAAAACAGCTCAAGGTGAGTGTTTTCTTCTCACCTTCTCCGGATCTACCACACTAAATGAAGATTTATTTTGCACTTACCTCTCTTAAGTTTGTCTTGTCACAGTATTAGTTTCGTTCTTGACTATTAATACATCTCACATTGATTTCTCTGTATTACAACAGTTCCAATTTTGGGGATATTATGGATTCATCTTCATTTAAATCTATCTAATAAAATGCAGAACTAGTTCTAGGAACAAACTCTCTGGTCCAAAAACATATGAATGGAAGAAATATTGCTCATGGATGACTCCTGACTCTGATTTTAAACTTCTCAGCTATTTCACCTAATTCCACATAAATTCATTGCTACTAGAAAAGAAGCCATATGTCAAAAATTCTAACGAACAGCATATGAATGAAAAAGAACTCCACATTTCTTCAAACATCAGGAAATTTCAAAAGACGGGAAGTATATCCATGCAAACATACAGTGGTGGTACTGTGCCGAAAGTTGCCTGGGGAGGATAACCGGCAGCTAATGATCCTGGAAGCACACCACCAACATACTGGGATGATAGGATGTCTAATTTGGCAGTCTTTGCCAGGGCCTCATCCTCTACAAGAAAATGCAATCCATTAAAGGAAAAGTTTAGAGTTTGCAGTCGCGAGATAAGAGTGGAAAAAACATTTTTATAATTAAAGTGTAACGCAATATGCAGCACTGGCAGAGATAGAATTAAGCCTGTATCGACTCAAGTATGGAGATAAGAAAGGCATAAAAATCTCAAGAATCCTAAAATCAGAAACTGAGAAGTCGACAACTCAGCTAACTGCCTTTAGTTTATCGAGATGGTAACAACCAAACTGCCAACTTCTGAAAATTAGAGGCTTCTACAAATTACAAAACCTGAGGAGCCCATGTTGAAAAAAATATAATTCTAAGCCTGATAATAATTGGATATTTAATATGATAAATGCGCTAGAAAGCCCCCCTAACAATTCAAACTAACACTGAAACTTTTATTTATTTCACATCTTGACTTTATCTCGATATAAACAAATTTCGTGCAACCATCTTTCTGTAAGAAGAGTACAAATTGAATAGTCTCATACAGGGGCGGACCTAGGTGGACCCTAGGGGGTTCACCCTAACCCCCTCGTCAAAAAACTACACTATATATATATAACGTGAAATTCTGATTTTATGGGTATATATATTAAAATGAACCCCCTGAAAATAAAGAACAGACTTGGCTCAGTGGATAAGTGGTTCAAGAAATGCCCCTAGGTCACGGGTTCAAATCCCATGGGTAGCATTTTTTTCCTCTTTTTAATGCTTTGGAAAATGGAACTTTTGGGCTTAGACCTTCTTCTTCTTTTTCATTATTTTTCCTTTTATTCCATTTCTTCATTTTAATTTGTTTTTGTTTAAATTTATTAGACACATTTTTTTATTTTTTTTTTATATCTATTATTCATGTTGTTTCAACGTAACTCTTTTTCATATACTAACTTGAATAACTATTTTAAAAAATGATGAATTATATTCAACTTGAAATTGAGTTAGAAATATAAATTATTTTTAAAAAAAAGGTAAATTAGATGTAATTGAATGAAGAAACTTAAATATCGTCAACATCATTTTTAAAATATTAGTTTATAGAATTCATGAAATTTCTTTTATATTTTTTATTCTATTTTAGAGGGATGGGAACTATACTTATTTGATTTATTCGTTATTTGTCTTTTTTACAAATTATGACTAACCTAGTAAATTGAACTATATGAACTAAAAAAATTGACAATGCTATTTATTTATCTTCTGAATATGCATTATAATATTAGCAACTCTATTCTTACACAATTTTAGAGAATCTTGACGATTTTAATAGTAATATGTGATTGAATGGATACTAATTTAAAATTTTAAAAAAGTGAAAAATAAAGTAAAACATTACAAAATAAAAGTATAAAAAACACAAGAAATTTTAAGAATGCTCGATGGAGCATGATAAAAGTAGAAAGAAATTTTTAATATGGTATGATAAAGTAAGTTAAATTTAGCATGATAAGGTATATATCTTTTTCCCCGTCTCGCTCCCTTTTTCATCATTTAATTTTCACTCGTTTTAGGAATTAATTTATGTAATACAGTCGATCCGCTAAAATTCTTATCAATGTATCTTTGTCCTCGATATCATTGATTATTTTAGTCTTTACTTTTATGAACCAATGAAATATCATGGCTCTTGTACAAAGAGCATGCCGAGGGGCTACTACGCTCACCGCGCACTTGCATTACTACCTGAACTTCTTCTTTATACTTTGAACCCCCTGAGCAAAAATCCTGGGTCCGCCACTGGTCCCATGGAACGGAATGGCAAGGTAAAAAATGCAAAAGTAACTCTTAACTTTCTAAAGTACAACAGAGGAGTCAGACTTCCAGTTCGTAAAGGGCAAATTCTTTAACATCAGACTACAATTGTCATACCTTCCTCTCCATAGTGAGCAGCTAACACATCCGGTGGGATTCCTTCCATTCCATATATTTCAATATCTGTTGATTCTCTGCCTGCTTTGGCATTTGGTACCCTGTAACAAGAAATCATTTTAAATTTTCCCAATTAATTGATTATCCCAGCATGCAAACATTCCTCCTCTTCCACCCTCCCCCTCAAATAAGACAACTAAAATGATACAGTAGATAGTTTATAGCTAGCTTTCTCCTGGAAAGGTTATCAGTCACTTGAGCTGGCAACTTTAGGTGATTTGAAAATCTATGGAGATAAATGGACAAGAAACAAGGCATTAACTTTCTTTTTGTGGGGGGTTGGATCAGGAGTAACATCTTACACAATTTAAAGTAACCAAACACTTCAAAATGACTTCATCAATATTTATGTCATATCAAACAGACCACATAGTAAAATCAAAACCTTTAAAATTTACTCTTATGGATGATAGGTTGTAAGGAACTTTACACATACATGTGCGAAACCCAAAATAGTTCCTAAGTATGTGTGTAGAAGTATTTTGATCCTTTATATACACCTCTAAGCTTACAACATCCTTTATATTTGTAAAAGTGGGCATATTTGGTCTTGACAAAAAAAAACCCTAAAAGCTAACAGAAGAGTACACATTATTGGTTAAAACTAACGGATCTAACTTTAAGTTCTGTTCTTGAGCCACTAGAAGAGCATGTGACCTTTCTCATCTACTCTATCAAAACCTGAACTTTGTCGGTCTTTTTCTCATCATATATGCATGAGGAAATTAGTGGATTGGTGGACAGCAATTCCCTCATGCATATAGTGCAGAGTGTGGAGGAAAGTAATGAGAGGTGTTTCGAAGACAAATTTAATCCTACCCAGAAAAGTAAGTGGAATTGTATTATCAACTTTTATATTTGGTGTAAAGAAGAGTGTAGAGGAAGCTGATCAGTTAGTAGAGCTTTTAGGGTTTCTCTAATTAGTCTTAATCTACAAGTGTCCATAATATTTGGAGGTCTCCGGCATGTCCTGAATGTTGATTGGTGAGGAATATAACTTACAAGTTTGCAAAAAAAAATTGTGTTTGGAATCCCTCAAATTTGTATAAAGGACTTAACCTAAATCTAAAAAAGAACGTAACAAGTTAGAGGGGATGAGACTTTTTTCAAAGATTGCTAGTTTTACTTCAAAAGCAATGTGAACCAGTTGACAGACAACCTAATGCTTTCAGTTGGGAAATAACAATTTGTTCTCAATTAAGTCCTTATATGAAAAGCTTCGGGTTAGGGCAGAGATTAGTTTTCCCCATATCACGGTTTGGATTCCTAAGGTGTTAAGAAATGTGTGCTTCTTCACATGGTTAGCTACTAAAGGGGTGATTTTGACAACGGGGAATCTTAGGATACAAAAGGTTGTTTTCTTGAGCTGGTGTTTCCTTTGTAAGGAAGCGGGTGAGGACATGGATCATATTTTACTACACTGCAAATCAGCTATGAGGTTATGGGAGGATATCTTTAGATGGTTAGGAGTTTCTTGGGCAGTGCCAAGATCCACAAAGGAGTTGTTCAGCTGGAAGAGTGGAGCCAAAAGAAGAAGGCATAAGGCTTGAAATGTTACTCTTCTTGCTTTAATGTGGGTCATTTCAAAAGAGAGAAATCGGGGAAATTTTTAAGGGGCGACGGTGATGGTGACGATGAGCTTTGCTCAACTGAGGAGTAGTCTCCGATCCCTTATTTTCTTTTGGTGCACCCATGTAATTCTTGTATGTATAGAGGATTGGATGTCTTTTATTTCATAGGTTTCTCCTGTTTTAGTGTAGCACTTGTATATGGCCAAATTGGCCTTGAATATTTTGGTTTTTCCACCACATACACAGATACATTAGAAGTAGTCAAGTTTCATATCAATAACCAATATCATCTTTACAACAACACATAAGGACAAATCTCTTTTGTTTCTTCCTAGTTCAAAAGAAACCATACTGACTCTGTCCTGTTTTATATGATTGAGTAATTTGGAGAAAATGAAATTTCTATTCAAATATTTCCTAAAAATATATATCATGAGTAAAATGTTACGCACTTGTTGACAGTCTCTTTGTGAACCTGAAGGACGTGAATGGCCATGCCGCTAGCAGTGGAGAGCTTTCTATGGCAAAAATTGCACTTGAAGTGTTTGGCTTTCTGGTGCTGAACCAATATCTTCTCATCATCAAATTCCCTATCACAGTAATAGCACCAAACCTTATCTGACGCTCTCTTCTTCTTCTTTCCCATTCCCTAATCACAAACCAATTCCAAACGAGAATTGAATGTTAGGGTTAGGGTTCTGAAAACAGCTCGTCAGATTGGGGTTTTCTTCCGGGTTTTTTTTTTTTTTGGTTAACGGTGCTAGAGTTGACAGTGGTCAAATATGATCATTTTGGTATATACTCAAATCTCTCTGATTTTTTATTTTTTAACCCTCACAAGGAAGTTTCATCTTTTTTTCTTTTTTGGTGACTATCTTCCTAATATATCTATGATATCATTTTATATTCAAGTTATAAAAAAAATATTTTTAAAACCACCTAAAAATTATAAAAATTAAGCCTGATATCAAATTTGTACATATATAGAACATCATCCATTGAATGGATATTTATCAAATGTATTGAATTCATAACACTTTTTATTGAATATTCTTAAGATAATGTGTCTCGTTAAATTTTACTACGTAAATTTTAGTGGAAAAGACTTAGTGAAGAAAAAAGAGTACACATATCTAGTAACACGTGTAATTGGAATTGAACAAGACTCTACCAATGATTATTTCTGCGAAGCTATTAGTACTGGGTGAAGCTCTGTTTTCGAGTCTAAAAGTTTATATAAGAGTTTTAGACTGGTCCATTATTGACATCATAGGTATACCTTTGGATATTTTTACTCATAAAATTAAGTTGGAGGAAAATTGCATTCAAAGAATTGAGCATCATAGAATGTTGAATTCACCCATGCAAGAAGTGGTGAAGAAAAATATCACTAAATGATTGAACGTGAAAATTACATATTAAATTGCTAATATCAATTGGGTGATCCCAGTTCAATACGTACCCAAAAAGGGTGGCATGACAATTTGGTTCCCAATGATAAAAATGGGATGATACCATGTACTTAGTGACAGGTTAGAGAGTGTGCATGGAATACCATAAGCTAAATCAATGGATAGAAAAGGATCACTTTTTTTTTATGACAAGGAAAACCCGCTGCCACTATCCTTTGGATGCGCACAGGGTAAAAACTCTGCTCCTACACAATAGCTCGCAAACCACATAGGAGAGGTAACCCGCACTAGACAAGCCCGGTGCGACGAGCTCGACCTAGAAGTAAACCCCTTGTTTTCGCTGGCAAAAAGGTTTCGAACTTGAGACCTCCAACATGGAAGTCCCAAGCCCAAATCACTGGGCCACCCCGAAGGGTGATAGACTAGATGCTAGGCAGGTTGGCAGACAAAAGCTATTATTGTTTTCTTAATGACTATTTTGGGTACAATTAAATTGCTAGTACTATTGAAGATCACGAGAAAACTACATTTACATGTCCATATAGGACATTCACTTTCAAGAGAATGGCATTCAAATTGTGTAATGTCGATGTCACATTTCAAAGATGCATGATGTTCATGTTTTCAAATATGGTGTTGCGTTTCGAGCCTATACCCTAGACGTGGCTGGCACTCGAGAACCATTGTTGGTTGATAACACTCAACTACATTTCATCCAATTCTAAGTGTAGGCGGTCGCTAACAAGTATAAACCCAACTAAGAGTTAGGGTCTATCCCACAGAGAGTGATACGCTAAAGAATGCAATTACGAAGTGAAAATAGTGTTCTAATCGTTTGTAGATGTAGACATTTTCGAAACAAGGAAAATAAATTAATGTCAAATGGGGGATTTGAGTGAACAATCAGAGTAATCAAGTAGAGGGTAGTTCTTGGGAGTGTGATCAATTGAATGCCAATTTCGCAAAATGGGTGATTAATTAATATTTACTAAAAGTCGATGAATATTAGTGGGTAGGCTAGGCTTTAGGTGCAATAGTCATTTCTCAATCAACTATCACGAATCAAGTGAGTTCTCTCGAACCTCGACAAGCATAACACATATAAACAACCCAATACCTCAATCAATCTACTTTTTCAAGCTAGATTAGTAGGATTGACCCACTTTCTCAAGCTAAGTCCACAATAACCCAATCACTACAATCATCAAATATATATAACTGAGCAAATTAAAAGTTTGCTCAAAGTAAAAGCAACTTGTTGGACTCGTATGATTTTGAGATGGTAAGAAAACTAATGATGCATAATCAAAAGTAAAATATCAAATAGATTATATAGTAATTCACCTTGTTTCCGAGAGAGAAATAAACACAAATATTTTTACCTTCTTTATAGTTACTTTGCTTCTATCCTTCAATAGTAGAACAATCGTGCTGAAAATGTTTTATAAAACTAAAGTAAAATAAGATAAGAAATATAAAATATGATAGCAATAGAAATAGGGGACAAGAGATGAGAGATTTTCTTATTCAAGTGTTCACCAAATCTTCAAGTGTATACAATATGAACCCTTATGCCTCTATTTATAGTGTAACATAGAGGCATACAAAATGTTAGTTATAAACATGACATTAAACATGAATATAATGGAGGAGGTTATGGAGGTGAAATGTTACAAGAATAATGATCATAAAGGTGGAGATTATCTTAATAATGGAGGGAAGTAATGTAGTAACTTCTTGGTGTAGTGAACATCCATAATATATTATTTTATAACACAATTTCTTAAACATGGACTAATGGAAAATAAATTTAAGACATTACTCATTAATAATAAATTAAATTAATTATTTAAAGAAATACCCATTAATTAAACAATCGTAGTTAAAGAAATAATTCAAAATTTTCATTTCAAATTTATGGGAAAGTTTTTTATATAAAAAAATAGTTCTAGTGCTCGACCTAACGGGTTTGTTACACTTTCTTATTTGCATGACTTTAGATATTACCATATTTTAACGAGCTTGTTACCCTTTCTCCTTTGCATCGATTTCGAATTTTTGACCAAAATAAGTCATTATTAAAATCAATTTACCAAAATAATACTTTTTTTAAAAATTCTACAAAACTAGTATAAACGTATTTCTGAGTAACATTTTTATTAGTCTGCACGACCTAGTAATTTGTTGATTTTAACTTTTTGCCTAAGTGTGAAACAGGTTGCCTAACGTGTTCTAACAAAGCAATAAGGACAACATGTAAAAACATAATATTTTTACGTGGAAAACACCCGGCTCAAAAGGTGTAAAAAACCACGACATGGACCCCTACAGGATTTAACTTCAACTTCACTAAATCACTGAGTCTCCACAGAAAATAGATTACAAACTTTGCACCTACGAAACTAACTCTCATTCCTTAACTTCAAGTTATGGATTTAGATTACAACTTTTGTAATCCTAGGAACTAACTCTAATTCCTAACCTTCAAGTTATGAATTCAGATTACAACTCTTTTAATCCTAAGAACTAACTCTAAATCCTAAACTTCAACACAAACCTCCCAAGGTATGTGTTCCCAACTCTTCGAGTTATCACAACCTGAAGACAACACTCCTAATTCAGTTTATAACTCATTGAACTAAGATTACATCAAGACTCAATCACAAAGATAAACTCCTAATACATAAACTCTGTAAAAGGATCAAGTTCTTCAATGTGTTCCTTCAGTTCGCTAGTAGCACTTGCGAAGTCAATTTTTCAATTGCTCTTTTTTGCTTTGTAAGTGCACAAGTGTTCTGAACGACTTCACCTCTATTTGAGCACAATTCTTCATAGAGTTATTGTTCACTCCAAACTCCTCATTGACTTGAACTCTCTTGACTTAGAGTTCTACTTCAAGTAAGACTCCTTCTTCTATTCAAACTCCTTGCTTCTTTAGACTCTTTCTTCAAATTACATTCATTGATTCTTTTGTATTGCAGTCCAACTCCAACACTTCAATTCAACAGTAACTTGAAGAGTTCTACTTTAAGTGTGACTCCTTCTTCAATTAAAACTCCTTGCCTCTTTAGACTCCTTCTTCAAATCGAATGCATTGATTCTTTCTCTTCAATTCATCAGATGTTTACTTCCTTGGGCTTGTTTTACTCAAAAAAATAAAAGAATAGAAAAGAAAAATGACTAGGTTTTCGAAAAATTGATTAAATTTATGATTTTAATAGAAATCGAATTTCCAAAAGAGCAGAGTTGCCAATTAATTTTTTAGTAAAGATCAAGAAAAGACTTAAGGTTTTCAAAAGACCTAAACAGATAAGATCAATTGAAAATAAAAGGGTTCAAAGTTCAATGTACATTCCGAGAAGGTGTTAGGCCCTCGGAATATCCGCCAACTTGCGGTTGACCGACGATTTGACTAAAATGACTTTGACTAATTTTTAAAATTTTATCTAAGTAAAAGAACTCATTTATTATTTTTTTTTTTTTTTTTTTTTTTTTACTTTTTAGGGGAACAACTAAAGGAAAATCTTCTAAGGGGAGTAATTCAAGATTTGCAAGACAAATTAATGAGATAAGACTAAGTAATAAATATAATATTTTAATTTTGAATATAAAAGGGAGAAATTACTATTCTTGGGAAATTAATTAAGTCAAACCAAGATAAAATAAATTGTTAGTCAACACAATAACAAATAAATAAAGAGGAAGAGGGAGAGAAATATTGAATTTGGGCCAAATAATATCCTACCCATCTCTAAGCCTACATTACTAGCCAATAACAAGTCTTACATGATCTTATTTCAAATGTTCTCACATTAGTGGAGATTTACAAGAAGGTCAAGCCTATGGTATCACAATTGCATGCATTGAATATTTTTCTGAGTGAGTTAATTTTGCAAAATGTCATAAAATCAAAACACTTTAAATGTGTGCGAATTGAGACTTTATTTGTGGTGAGGGCACTTGAAACAAGATATTTGATCTAGTTCAAAGCTTTGTTTGTAGCAAGATGAACAAGTTTTGTCATTACTTGAGTACATTTGAATCCATAGAAATTACCTCGAAGTTAATCTCAGTTGAATTGTGAGAAATTTCTATGCAAAACTATTGTTGGCGCTAACGAAGTTAAAATATGTTTTATTATTCAAAAAATAATAATAAACGGGCTGACACCCAATTCTCAATACTTATCCAAAGTAACTTTGTGGACCGTTTCATTGTTAATATTGTATTTTTTTTATCGTTATACATTTCAAAATGACATCATTTTAAATTTAGGTCATCATACCTTTCAAAATGTCATCTTTAAAAAAAAATTAATTTGTTATCTCAAATGCAATGATGTTTTTTTAAAAGAAAAAAT